TAAAGCCAGGTCTGGGAGGGAAGCCTGATTCCTGGGTGGGTGCCCGCGGAAAGCAGGGCTGGCTGCCAGGAGAGGGAAGGCCTACTCCTGCATGAATTTCACTCATCAGGCCTCCAGGGTACATACACCGAGTGGCCAGATGATGATGATCTCTGAAGGCATAATAATCTGGCCACTCAGTGTATGTATGTGTGTATGTGTGAGGCTTGGTGCATGAATTCATGCATGGGTGGGGTCCGGCCAGCCTGGCCAGCGGGAGGGGACATGGGCAGTTGGCTGGCCTGCCTGCTGGTCGAACTCCTGGTCAAGGGGACAATTTGCATGTTAGCCTTTTATTCTATAGGATATCCACTGAGTGGCCGGATTATGATGCATTCAGAGGTCATAATAACCTGGCCACTCAGAGTGTGTATATGTGTATGTACACACACACACACACACACACACACACACACACACTGAGAAATGTCCACCCAAGGACTGTGTTAATCGTCTTAAATACACCTGGTCTGCAAAATAGATTTCCTTCCACAACTCTGCACAGAACAGCAGGCGACTGTCCTGACAGAGCCTCTCCACTCGCCCCTGTCACAGGTGACGCGAAGGTAGCCGCCCGCCGAGGAGCGGCCGCCGTCCTGCGGGAGGGCCCCGTCTGTGCGAGGAGTCACACCCGAGGGAGCCCGGGCCCAGAGTAACGGGTTCCCGCCCTCGATGGGCGTGTGGCCACCGGGGCAAACGCGCCTCAGCTCCTCCGGGAGAGGGAGGGCGTGAACAGGAAATGGCGCCTCCCCCACCCTCAGGCGCGATGAGCACACCCCGTCCTTCCCTGCACACAATCCATAAACACTAGCTGCGTCTGTGTGAGAAGAAGCTCCATCACTACTCAGTATGGCACGCATGCGTACTGTGAATCCTTTAAAAAAATTATATATATGTTTATTGATGTCAGAGAGGAAGGGAGAGGGAGAGAGACATAGAAACATCAATGATGAGAGAGGGTCATTGATTGGCTGCCTTCTGCATGCCCCCCACTGGGGATCAAGCCTGCAACCAGGCGTGTGCCCTTGACCAGAACTGAACCAGGGACCCTTCGGTCCGCAGGCCGACGCTCTATCCACTGAGCCACACTGGGGTGTGGGCTCCATCCCCAGGTAGGGCAATAGAGTGATTCTTAGGGAGCATCCACTATGGGCCAAGGGTGGTATTTGCCTATGAAATCTAATTTAATACTAAAAATCCTGGGACTTAGAAAACTGAGGCGTAAGGAGCAACTCGTCCAAAGATCCTTGTTGTCCAAGGGCACCCTGATGTTCAAGGTCACCCAGCAAGAAGGATCCCCAACTTTTAAGACAACAGCAGGACGGACTTGGAATCTAAAGCCAAATTTGTTAGACTCAAACCCGGTCCCCAAGTCACCACCAGAAAAAAAATGACAGAACTGAAAAGCTGCATTGCCTTCGATGCTGGGGCACCCACGTGTACCGAGCACGAAGCCCAGCCTCCGCTGGGGCAGTGAGAGGAGCCTGAAGCTTTGGAGGCGCGTCTTGGACCTGAAGCCCCCTCTCCAGAAGACCCTTCCCCCCCCCCCCCGCAGCCCCTGAGCGGTGAGCGCTGAGGAAGGACAGGGAGCGCATGCCTGGCGGAACGCCGTCCGGGAAACCGCGTCCGCCTGAGGCACGGGCCCGGCAGAGCCGGCCACACTCGGGGCCCAGCGTGTGAGGCTGTGGTCTTGGGCAAATGACTTCGTCTACGTCCCCTCTTCCCCAGTGCCAGCTGACAATAATAATAACAATAATTGCTTTCAGTCCGGCCAGTGTGGCTCAGCGGCTGAGCGTGGACCTCGGAACCAGGAGGCCAGGGTTCATTCCTGGAGAAGGGCACAGGCCCGGGGTGTGGGCTCCATCCCCAGTGTGGGGCGTGCAGGAGGCAGCCGGCCCATTCATGGTTCTCATCCCTGATGTTTCTGCCTCTCTCTCCCTGTCCCTTCCTCTCTGAAATAAAAATATATATACACATTTAAAAAGATAGTAATTGTTGTCAGAGAGAACGCAAACACGGGGTGGGTAGAAGGTAGCGAACTCAACCAGGACGGCAGCGCTGCCATGACCATTAACAACAGCGTGTTCACCCACGTGACTGCCACCCCAACCGCCCGCCGGCCCAGCCTGGCACACTGCCCGCCGTCCCAGCCACAGAGCCCGGGCCAGCCGAGGCCCCCGCCCAGGGAGCCCTAAAACCAGCCGCCCTCCGCACACGGACCCCAGGCCCGTCCCCAGTGCCAACGAAACAGGGCACACACGTGGGCCAACCAGGCCCGCCCCTCAGCCACCTCTGGGCTCCCTTCCACATCGGGAGACCTGACACGGGTCTCAGGGCACCCCCTCCCCCCGCACCTGCCCTCTGCTGCGGGGCCCTGGCTCAGGCCGCACCTCAGGGTCCTCCACATCCCATGGAGAGCGTGTCCCCAGGAGGGGGCTCTGGAAGCGCATGCGGCTCTGGGGACGTGGACACACACACACACACACACACACACACACCCGCACTGAGCAGGCACACCCCTTTCCCCTCCTCAGTCCGCCAAGCGGCCAGAAGTCAGACATCTTCGGGCCTTGGCGTCTCCACTGGCGCCCGCCACGGCGGGCCGAGGAGCGGAGGCTCGGAAAGTCTCTCGTTTCAGTAAAACCCGCCCAGCACGGCCCAGGCGAGCCCGGCCTCACCGGTGATGGTGCCAGGGCACCGGCGTCGGAGGACAGGCTATTTCCCTAAAAACACGCCACCCGGGAAGACACGGGAAACACGTGCTGGGACCAGCGCCTGCAGGAACGGCCTCACAGAAAGCTGACTTTTTTCCCAGTGGGAGCAAGAGAGCACCCCGGGAAGCCGGGCCGGGTCTGGGGGTCTCTGACACACGTGAGCGAGTGACAGCCAGGCCAAGCAGGACATTCCGGGTGCGAGGGCTGCCCACACCGGTCACCCATGTCAGCCCAGCCGAGGCCAAAGCCCCAGGTGCCCGGCGCTGTCCGTGGTGCTGACTTACTGAGTGTTTCCCCCTAAAACCCAAGACAACACCCATATCCAAGCAGATGGTCCCAGCATTCCTCACTGCTTGGGCAGGCCCAGCCCCCGAAAACAACACCGCCTGCTGGCTTTTAATTTCCTGTTTGTTATCTGTGTTTGTGTAGGGAGAGGGGGAGGTTGGGGAAGGGGAAGACAGAGGAGGGAGGGGGAGCCGTGGGAATGGAACCTCCAATCCTCTGACCAGATCACAGGAACCACAGTGTTTTCTGAAGAAACATACCAATCCTCCCACCAGGACCTGGGCGTCCTCTCCACATGTGCAAACGATCACATGCTTATTAATAGAACATGTTGGCTCTATGGCATTTGCATATCAACCTAATAACTGTCTCTGCATATGCGTGCACATGGGAGTCCGTACACACAACACACACACACACACACTCACACACACACTCACACACACACACTCACACACATTCACACACACTCACACTCACACACACACACTCACACTCACACACACACACTCACACTCACACACACACTCACACACACACATTCACACACACTCACACTCACACACACACTCACACACTCACACACTCTCACACACACACTCACACACACACACTCACACACACACACACTCACACACTCACACACATTCACACACACTCACACTCACACACACACACTCACACACTCACACACACACACTCACACACACACACACACACACACTCACACACTCACACACTCACACACACACACACTCACACTCACACACTCACACACATTCACACACACTCACACTCACACACACACACTCACACACTCACACACACACACTCACACACACACACACACACACTCACACACTCACACACTCACACACACACACACTCACACATTCACACACACATATACACACACACTCACACACACACACACTCACACTCACACACACACACTCACACACACTCACACACACATTCACACACACTCACACTCACACACTCACACTCAGAGTCTCTGAGCCCAAGAGGCCTGTGGCCAGCCAGGCTGTGGAGTCGGGAGGGAGCAGCCCAGTAGATGCTGGGCTAACAGCGCCCCCCAGCACCTCCCAGCTCAGCCTCTCCATCTGGGGGCCTCTCTGCTCCTTTAGGGGGGCTGCGCCCTGGTCAGGGGAGCCCCAGGGGCGCCTCCATGGACGGGGCAGGAGGCGGTGGAATGGGAACAGGCGTCCCCACTGGGGAGACGGTCCCCTCCACACCCCGGCAGTGGATCCCCTGTTCCCGTCCAACCTGGGAGCCAGCTCCGCGGCGATGGAGTCCAGATGCTCCCCAATGCTCACCCGCACCCCAGCCCCCAGCCCCCACCCCCACCCGCCTCTCCTCAGCCCTCCGCGCCCCTCCCCCGCCGGCTGCGGGACCACAGGGTGCGGGTGGCACGGGGCGGGGGGGGGGGGGGGGAGGATGGGAGCTCCCTCCGCACCCACGGGGACGCCCTAGGTCCCTGGGGAGGGGCGGCTGCCCGCCTCACAGACACACGGGAGGCCAGGGCTGGGGCCCGCTCCCCGCAGGAAGGCAGCGGGGCCGGGCGCGGGGCGCGGGGCGGGGGCCCGGCCTGGGCTGGGGCGGGCGGCGGGCTTACCAGGAGCGCGGGGCCGGGGCGCGGGGCGGGAGGCACGGGGCGCGGGGCCGGGCTCCGGGCCCGGGCGGGAGGCGCGGGGCGCGGAGCGCGGGGCCGGGTTCGGGATCGGGTTCGGGGCAGGGGCGCGGGCCGGGGTCGGGGGCGGGGGCGCGGGGGGCGGCGGGCTTACCACCGGGGCCAGGGCGCGGGGCGGGGGCGCGGGGCAGGGGCGCGGGGCCGGGTTCGGGGCCCGGGGGCGGCGGGCTTACCACCGGGGCCAGGGCGCGGGGCGGGGGCGCGGGGCCGGGTTCGGGGCCGGGTTCGGGGCCCGGGGGCGGCGGGCTTACCACGAGCGCGGGCACGCCGGCGGCCAGCGAGTAGAGCAGCGCGGGCGGCACGGCGCTGCGGGCCTCGGGGCCGGGGTAGGGCTGGCGGTAGGCGCTGTCGTGGCAGAAGAAGCCCTGCACGTTCACGGCGAACGTGTCGGTGTACTCGAAGTAGTAGGCCAGCATCACGGTGCCCGCCATGATCACCGCCTGGAAGTAGAGCATGCTGCGGGCCGGCTGCGCCTCCTCCGCCCGCCGCTCCGGCGCCCTCCCCGCCCGCCCTCCGCGGCGCCGCCCGCCGGGGGGAGCGGGGTCCGGGGGCGGGGAGCGGGGTCCGGGGGGAGCGGGGTCCGGGGGGAGCGGGGTCCGGGGGGGGCGGGGTCCGGGGGGAGCGGGGTCCGGGGGGCGGGAGCGGGTCCGGGGAGAGCGGGGTCCGGGGGGGAGCGGGATCCGGGGGGAGCGGGGTCCGGGGCGGGGAGCGGGGTCCGGGGGGAGCGGGGTCCGGGGCGGGGAGCCGGGTCCGGGGGAGCGGGGTCCGGGGGCGGGGTGCGGGGGAGCGGGGTCCGGGGGGCGGGGAGCGGGGTCCGGGGGAGCGGGGTCCGGGGGCGGGGGCGGGGTCCGGGGGGAGCGGGGTCCGGGGGGCGGGGGAGCGGGTCCGGGGGGAGCGGTCCGGGGGGGGAGCGGGGTCCGGGGGCGGGGAGCGGGGTCCGGGGGCGGGAGCGGGGTCCGGGGGCGGGGAGCGGGGTCCGGGGGCGGGGAGCCGGGTCCGGGGGGAGCGGGGTCCGGGGGCGGGGGGCGGGGAGGGGTCCGGGGGGAGCGGGGTCCGGGGGCGGGGGGCGGGGAGCGGGGTCCGGGGCGGGGAGCGGGGTCGGGGGGAGCGGGGTCCGGGGGGAGCGGGGTCCGGGGGCGGGGAGCGGGGTCCGGGGGCGGGGGCGGGGGCGGGTCCGGGGGGAGCGGGGGTCCGGGGGCGGGGGAGCGGGGTCCGGGGGCGGGGAGCGGGGTCCGGGGCGGGGGCGGGTCCGGGGGAGCGGGGTCCGGGGGGAGCGGGGTCCGGGGGGGCGCGGGGGAGCGGGGTCCGGGGGGGAGCGGGGTCCGGGGGCGGGGTACGGGCGGCGGGTCGGGGGGAGCGGGGTCCGGGGGCGGGGGGCGGGGAGCTGGGTCCGGGGGCGGGGAGCGGGGTCCGCGGGGAGGGGGTCCGGGGGCGGGGAGCGGGCGGGGAGCTCCGGGTGCAGCGGCCGCGGTGAAGCCCCCGGCGGCGCAGAGGAGGCGGCGCTGCGCCCCTCGGAGGGCGCGGCGGAGCGGGGGGCCGGGGCCCGGGGACCAGGCCGGGGGCGGGGGCGGCGGAGCGGGAGCCGCTGGGAACTCCCTCCGGCGGCGCGGGCGGCTCGGGAAGCCGCGCGGCGCGGGGAGAGGGGCGCGCACGCGTCTGCGGAGCAACCGCCGCCGGGAAGCGCACCCCCGAGCCGGCGCTGCGGGCCGCCTCTCCCCGGCCCCCGCCTCTCAGCGCCCCTCTGCCATGGCCAGCCGCCTGGGAGGCAGGCCGGGCCGATTCCGGGGTCCAGGGAAAGGGGGTGCGGGGGGCGCCAGGGGGAAGGGCGTTTGGCTGCTCCCTGATTCCCTGGGGCCAGGAGACCGGGCGGGCACACCGCATGCACACGGACCATGCACATGGAACACGCACACAGAACATGCATATGGAACATGCACAAGGAACATGCATGCGTAACGTGCACACGGAACGCACCCTGCGTGCGCGGACACGCGTGTGCGTGGAGGGAAGTCAGGGTGAACCCCACATGTGCGCAGAGCCCGCTTCCTGAGCCAGGTGGGTGCCTGTCTTGCAGGATAATGTTAAGCGGCACATTTTGGGGCGGAGGTGGGGCTCCCCAGAGCCTGGCACTTCTCACAGGCCCCGCCCCAGAGGGCAGTAAGGAGCAGGTGTAGGAGGCAAAGAGGTGGAAATGTTCCTGTCCTTCTCAAAGCGCGGCACTGCCTCCCGGGTTTCTGGAATGTTCGTCTTAAAAGGCCAGTTACATTTGCAGGGGACGGCGGTTTGGGGTGCTGTTCTGATCGCGGTGTGAGTCCCCCCACATCGCCGCAAACATGTTCAATAACGCGGGCCCAGGCGCTCCCCAGGCAGGGGCGCCGGGCAGCGGGCCACTGGGCGGTGCAGTGACCGCCCCGCCACGCCGGTGCCGGGAACATTGGCTGCACAGACGTGGGGCTGCCTCGGGGGCCATTCATAGAGCCACTCCGAGGCTGCCAACGCTCCTCTCCTCCGGGGACTCCCCACCCTTCCCCCTGAACGGAACTTCCGGAAGGATGGTGTTCGCTTTTCAGTTCGCACCGTTTCCTTGGGGTGAGGGAGAGTCTCCTGTAGGGGGTATTCGCGCATAACCTCCTAAATGAAGATGCATTGTGGTCCGCTGTGAAGGAGTAGTGAGTGCCCAGCACAGTCCATAACAGAGGGCCCTGCTGTCATGTCCCCGCTCTGCCCCCAGGGGGAGCCCCGCCTGCACCCTGTGGGTATTCCAGAAGGACCCCTTGAATAAATAAAAATAAACCAATGAGCCTACTCCTTTAGGAACAGCAGGGGCGGGTTCCCACATAGACTGTGTGCGTGCTGTGCGGCTTTGGGAGGACTTAGGGGAGCGGTCGGCAAACCGCGGCTCGAGAGCCACGTGCGGCTCTTTGGCCCCTTGAGTTTTTAGCAAAGGCCAGCTTAGGAGGACCCTCGTTGAGGTAATACTAACATTGTGCCTACCTACCGATATAGTTTAAGTTTAAAAAACGTGGCTCTCCAAAGAAATTTCAGTCGTTGTCCTGTTGATAGTTGGCTCTGTTGACTAATGAGTTTGCCAACCGCTGACTTAGGGGAAGAGAAACAGAACGTTGCTTATTGTTTTTGTTGACTCTTCTGATTGCTTGTCCCTGAATTGGGTTCAACAAATCACACCTCATTGTACTAATCCCATCATCGTGAGGAGTGCGTCCACGGGGAACGGCGTCTTCCGTGTAACGCGATGGATCAGAACAAAGCACTGCGGTCCGGGCTCTGCTCAGCCGGGGACTTGCTGTAATATTTTCTTGACTCTTATATAGATAGAGTTCGGATAAAAATAGAACACGGAGAGTGAAACCTTAATTAACTCCGCGAAAGCCTCCTGCAGAGAAGGGTGCCCAGGGGGAGCAGGGCGCTGATTCCTGGGAACCTTCCCACGATCGCCAGGACTCTCCCCTCAGGCGCCGAGAGGTGGGGACCCCATTCATCTCTGCGATCTGACAGGAGCTACTCGCTGGAAGCGCCGTCTCACTGCTCATTCCTGCGGTGACACGGGTGCGGGAGGCGGGGTTTTGTCACTGTGACGGTGGGATACACTCTGGACGTTTTGAGGGGGAAATGCCTAAAATAGATGCTTGTTTTCTTAAAACAAAAAAAGCATTGATTGAGTGACTACGATACACCAGGAACAGGGGTGTGTCTTACTCAGATATCTCTGCCCCCCCACGCCTACCCCGGTGCCCCCGAGAGGTGTTACACCTCAGACTTGGCTTCCGTGTCTGTGGGAGCCCCCACTCACCCTCATCCACTCGCTCCGGGCTTCGGGGTGTGGCGTCCAGGGTGAGTGAGGCGGGTTTTAATCAGACACCTACATACAAAGGACTCATACAACTCCACACCAACAAGATGACGGACCCAACGGACCCTGGACAAAGGCCCTGGACAGACAGGTCTCCACAGCGGACGCACCGACGGCCAGCCGACCACGGGAAGGTGCTCAGCGTCCCCAGCACCAGAGAGGCGCAAGCGGGAGCCACCGGGGGGCGTCCCCTCCAGCCCGTCGGGGCGGCCGCCGTCAGTAAACCCGCACACGCGCGCGGGCGAGGAGGATGGGGGGACCAGGAGACCCTCGTGGCTGCGGTGGGAGGGCAGGCGGTGCGGCCACCGTGGGAAACGGTGTGGAAGCTCCGCAGACTCTTGTTTTACCCTCTCCCGTCCTCTGTTCCTAAAGCTTCCTGTAGAAAAGGGTTACATTCCCAAGGAAAAAACAAAACGGAACAAAGGCGGTGCCACCGAGAAGGCCGTAACCCGGGTCTACGCCGGCAGGTCAGCCGAGGTGACTGTACCCAGAATGGCAACGAACCGAGCCCACGGACGCCAGGCCGGTTCCTGGGGCTCCGTCACAGCCCCCCCGCCACCCCCCAGGCTGCCTGAGCGGAGCCTGGGCCGGGCCGGGCTTCCCAGGGGGAGCATTTGGGCAGGAGTCCCCACATCTCCGAGCTCTGGGCGCAGGAGGCAGGTGCGCGGCAGGCGTGCTGGGAACTGGGCGTGTCCAGGCTGGGCCCCCGCACTGGGGGAAGGGGAGACTGTTGGGACTGGGAGGCTGAAGCAGATGGTAGCGAGCCTGAGCAAAACAGGCCCAGCTGTGTGAGTGTCACCCCCAAAATAACGGGGCGACATCTAAGCCGTTTCCCTAGGAAACATGCCGTCCGAGCGGCGCCTGGTGAGGGCTCGGTGGACGCTGGTTCGCTCCTGGGCGGCAGGGGCATGAGGGGGAGCGGGCAGCGGGGCCAGCTCTGAGCTGCCACCCCACCTGCTGCCCTGGGGAAGCCTGAGGCCTCACTCTCCCTGCCAACAGCCCGCCTCCTCCCCAGCATCCTGCAGCACCGAGGTCTGGCCTGCAGAGGGAGCACGTGAGCGGCGTCCTAAAATAGACCAGGCAGCCCAGCTGGAAAGCTGAGCATTAGGAAGAGGCACAGGGGAAGGGAGCTGGGTGTCCCGGTTTGAACCCAGCCCCCCTGAGAAACCAGCTGGGCCCTGAAGTTGAAAGGCTCCCTCCTACTTCCTGCCGGCCCCTCCGCCCCCAGCCCCTCCCCCTCTGCCCTTAGGCTTTGGGAAGGAGGGATGAGGGGGGGCAGGGGGAGCACCAGGGCTCAGCACACGTTTCTCTCTCTCCTTGAGCAGCTAGAAAGCATCTGGTGACTGAGGCTGCTTTCTCATGACCCTCCAGCGGAGCAACTCAGTCCTGCCAGCCCACCGGCTGTCCCTGCTTTCTCCCCAGGGCTGAGCTCAGCCCTGTGCCACCCCGCTCAGTGCATCTGAGACACAGGCCACGCGGAGAGCGGACCCCTGGCACCGTCCCTCGCTCGTCAGTGAAAACCGGGAACGTGTAGAGAAAGACAACACACCAGAAAGACGAACATGAAGAAAAAGCCATTTCGTGTGAAAAGCAAGAGGCCAAGGCCATG